GATTCCCATGTCATTGTAGTGTTCTTCACAGTAGCCAAGTTATGAAATCAACAGGGTGTTCAATAGTGGACGAATATATATATATAAAAAATTTTTTGTACTTTTTAGGGAAGGGTCTAGGGGTGTTCAGGGTCTCACTACTAGATCGGACTCAGTGATCCGCCTGATTAGAGCCTCCCAAGAGCTGGGATTACAGGTATGCGCCACCGCGCCCAGTCTCAATTGCCTTCTCAGCGTGCCCCGGGTGCGGGGCCAACCCGGGGGGCCCGGGAATGGAACCCCCGGCCCCTAGTAAGAACTATAAAGCATGTATGTGTATTAGGAGTTGGACTCCAGGTCTTTTTAGACAGTATTGCCCAGGAGAATTACCCTGATGGAATCATTCAAACAGGTACCACTCTCTGCAGGACATTTACAGCTTCAGGAACTCGCAGCTGTCTTTCCTAGAGGTCCCGGAGGGCGGGCGGGCGGGCGGGCGGGCAGAAGCGGCAGGGCCGGGCTAGCACAGACCATTCATTGGCAGGACGCCTGGCGGGCGGCTCGTCCTCGAGGGCTTACAGCTTCTCGGGACGCCAGGGGGCCCGCAGCCTAGAGCCAGCCGTAAGCCTAGGCCGCTCCAGGCCAGGTCCTCGGGGCGCTGCCCGGGATCCCCGCCAGCCTCTGGGCAAAGAGCGCCCGCGGGCGGGCGGCGGGCCTGCGGGGTGCTCGGCGGAGATCTGCCTCCTTGGGGGCGAAGAGATCCCAGGGCGTCGGAGGGGACCCCGGGGCGACCACCGAGGGGCGCCCCACAGCCCCCGGCCCAGGTCTTTGTCGCGATTACCTCAAGGCTCTCGCGTGGTCCAGACCGCACACCCAAACCCCGGGGGCAGCGTCAAGCTTCGGGGCTGGGAGGCCCAGGAAGCCCTGGGGGGAGCCTAGCAGCGGTCGGAACACGGCGGACCCTGAGGCACGGGGAGCAGGGGCACACAGCGCGGCGACTGGGCGAGAAGGGCAGCAAGGAGGTGAAATTTACAACGGCCGCTCCTGGAAGCCACGCAGACGCGTAGCCGTCGCCCGG